CTTGTTCCCTAAGATTCTTCAAGGCAAAGAAACTGTCACAATCTTAAATAAAATAGCAAGGAATGCTCGGAGACAAAGGTAATTTCATTCTTCAAAATCTTCTGAAATGCACTTTTTTAGCTGTCTGCTAGAAGTAGTGTGGGCAATGAGTGGTTTTCTTTTTTCTTGTAGCTATTACAGTGGTTTCTTTTTTCTTGTAGTTATTACGGGTGCTATACACCAACAAAGACGTTCTCTGAATTGGGTTCTGCATTCCCTGTTGAATTTTGGAGATCTCCTGACATCATGAGGATGCCAGATATGTGGTTTGCTCATGTTGGATTTTTTGGTGGTGGTGTGCTTCGCTTTTTTTTTTTTTTTAAAGTGTTTTACATATGGGCAAAAAAAAGTCGGAAAAAGTAATAATTCCTTGCAACCACACTTAAATTTGGAATAAAAGCTGTATTAACTCTTGACACAACTTTGCCCTCTGGAGAGATGCAGCTTTGCCAGCCCTAGAGAAGCTCTTAACCTTTAAAACAATGCTTTGTCATAATAATTGTAGCTAGCATAGCAACTTTTAAAGCCAAAAATCCTCAAGGTACCTTCAAAACATATCAAGAGGCTCTATTAAACACAAGACTGAGGTTCCTATAGGGGCTCTCCTTAACACCAAGGAGTCGGGAACAGCTATAGCCCTGCAAGGAAGTGAATGTAAAGAAATGTTTACATCAATGTTTACAAATATGTAAGGGGTGAGTGTCAGGAAGATGGAATTAAGCTTTTTTCAGTGATGACCTGTGATAGGACAAGGGGTAATGGGTGCAAACTGGAGCATAGGAGGTTCAAGGTGAATATCGGGAAAACTTTTTTTCCTGTGAGGGTGACGGAGCACTGGAACAGGCTGCCCAGAGAGGTTGTGGAGTCTCCTTCACTGGAGACATTCAAAAACCGCCTGGACGCCTTGCTGTGTGATGTACTCTAGGTGACCCTGCTCTGGCAGGGGGGGTGGACTGGATGATCTTTCGAGGTCCCTTCCAACCCCTATGATTCTATGATTCTATGAAATGAACCCAAAGGATTCCCAGGATTGGGTTTGAACCTTTCTAAATTTGCAGATTCCTGGAAAATGTTAAGTCAAAATATAGAGATCTTAAAAAAATGCACATATGCTGATGCATTTTTACCCTGCTTTTGTCAGCCACATTACAGGGGACTATAATAGTAATCTGTGTAGTGCTATAGTAGTCAGTGGACCACAGGCTGAAAATCCCTGAATGAGGCCATCAGCACACAGTGGGCCAAAAAGGTAACAAATCCACAGAGATTCAACTTGCATGCACGAAAATGTCCCAGGAACTTGTGATACAAGATGGATGTGGATGTCTCCTGCCATCTGCAAAGGACAGGTCTGAGGGATCAAGTCTCCCAGTGCTGAAAGCTGAAGAGTCTCTCCAGCTAGACAGAGTCCAATTCTGTCTAGGAACAGGTTGATGGAACTATCTCCAAATGCTAATTCCCCATCAGGATCCAAAATAAGGACTGCAATGAAAAATACATGTCAGGTAATATAAATACACATATTTCTGTTTCTTTCTCTGGATAGTAACAGAGACTATGCGATGCTCCTACTCTGATGAGGATGTAGCACCTTGTCTCTTGGGCAACAAGCTCTGCAGTTGTACCTGTGATGTGACACCTCAGAAAGTGGCACAGAATACAGCTTATATTGCCAACTGCATGTGAAACAGATATCCCTTGTAGGAGGGTCACAAAATAATGCTTTGATTTGATTCTTCAGGTCAAGAAGTATTTGAAAAATTTAACCTTTGGAATTCAGCATTTCAATACTGAGCCACTGATGGCAAAGGAAATGGTTCATGAAATGCTGGATCTAGTTTGTGCCTCCAACAGCAGCACATTGGGAAGATAATGGACAAGAGTCCATCAGTACATTTCTTATTTTATTACTCATCTTCACTATAAAGATTCTGCAAGCATCTCCTTGCATGACCTCAGGCACCTTAAAAATGGAGATGATTCCAGCTGCCAGACTGGCCATCTCTACTTCAGAGATCTCTCACTTTTTAATCAAGCATTGAAGCACAGACACATCAGTGAGATTTCCTTCCTCTGCCCACCTGGGAACCCACACTGAGCTGGCTGGCCAGCCACCAGGCCTGCTCAAAGGATGCAGAGGGAATTCCCAGTCTTTTTATGCTGCTCGTTCCCACTCGGCTCCTCAACTCCTTCCCTTACTGATTATAACTGCACCAAAGACCAACAGGACCTGGTTTCCTGCCTGTACTTCCTTCTGAGCCACAAGGTCTCCTCAGAATAAACACCACAGATTTCAAAATAAAAGAAAGGGTATTTCCATGGTGGTTCTTTCCAGACTGATTTAAAACTTGTTCCTTGGGACATTTACCACCATCCAAACTGGCTTTCCCAGAGGGTGACTTTCCTTGGCCTCGGGCTGCAGCAGTGCTGTGATGGAGTGTAGGCACCATTCCCACAGTGGATAGAAGGCTGAAAGGTAGAGCAAACAATGCCCAGGATGGGCACAGATAAGATCACTCTTACAGAAGGCTCTAGCTCTGAGCTAGAGAAGAGCTCAGAGCATCTTCTCATTGAGACAAGCACAGGGTGGAACAAATCTGTTGGATGGTGGCTGGCTCCAGCCAAAAGGCAAAGATCTGGCACACAAAGGCCTTTGGGCTGGGACAGTCACCAGCTGGTGAATTCACGCATCTGCCTCTTGGATGTTCTCTTCTGAGGCTCATCTGGAGGAAAGGGGAGTGCACACAATGATCCCGGGAAGGATGTGAAACTCTTGAAAGCACTAAATCCATGCTGGATTTCCCATCCTATAAGTTCTGGATAAAAACCAAGCAAATCTTAACTTCTACTCTCAGGAAGACAGCCATGCTCTGTCCTCCTACTCTTTCCTGGTTTCTTCATGTCTCTTCTGGAACACTGTGGTGAAGTTTATTTTGGGGAACTGAAAGAAGAGAAAGGTTCCTGCGTCTTCCACTTTTGTTTTATTTTAAAAACTGAGCTTTGAAAACCTTTTCTATGTGAAGTGACCCTGTAGCTTGATCCATTTTACATTTCTTTCCCACTTGCCTGGTTTTCCAGGGAAAAGGAATTATTACCTTACATCCTGTGTCCACTCTGGTAAGTGCATCAGAGATCACCTCTGAAATAAAAGTGTATCCTGGGAGACAGAGCTGTGCCTGCTCCTGTGTTATATACAGGTAAAAAATAAACCCTGAAAGCATGGCTTTCCTTCTTAGAAGATCAGGGAAGGGCAGGGAAACCCATCTGGAGTCTCCAGGAAACCAGCACAGGCCTGACACAGACCCTGGGAGAAGGATGAGTCAAAAATATCCAAACCAAGAGGACCTGGGTGTTTGCTTTCTCCCCTACCTGCAGGTAGCTCCCTCTGGGTCACGTCCCAACAGAGAAGAGCAAAAAGCAACAAAGCAGGGAAGATGGGCAAAGCACAGGAATGAAGTCCACTCAAAAGGCAACTTTAAAAAATATTCTATTTGGTTTTGTTCTCAGCTGGATTGCATGACAAGGTCTTGTTCCAAAAAGGCCTGATCAGGGCACGGTGCAGCACTGCAGCACCTCTGCAAAACAAGGGGATTTTTAGCAGTCATGCTACAGAGCTTCTCCCATCAGGTAACACCCCAGTAGCACTTAGAACACACTTGGCTGGACCTTCCAAGTAGAGGATCTCCTTCCTTACAGGCTGGAGCAAGACGCCTCATACAGCATTTTCTGCAGCTGGGGTGGAAGAGAGTTTTCTGTGGCATCTAAAACCCACACATGTGAGCAGTAAAGGCTCAGAAGCCAGAGTTCCATCACCTTAGATCTGAGGGGCTGCAGGATTGCAACACTGTCATAAATCTACAGTAACTCAGATGACAAAGTGGCAGGAAGGAGAACAGAGTTCAGCTTAGGATCCCTCAAGACAACTGTTTAAATTCTCAGTGAAATAGAATAGAAATTTTTCTTTAATCTTGCCTCAAAATTGCTATTATGCAGTATAATTAATTTTATTAGCCTCAAATTTTTTTTCATGTCTGATTTTTTAGTCATTTTTATGGCCCTTTAATACTATTCTGTGCCTGGGTCTAAATGACATGACAGTTCATTGGCCACATTACATAGAATGAAATCAACCCAAAAAAGGGGACTGATGTCCTTTTGACTTTGATATCATTGTACTGTCATGATTAACAAGAACAAGAATAACTAAACATACACACAAAAAAAATCACTTTATCTTCGTTATTAGTGGTGGATAGTCTAACCAACTCATGCAATATTTCTAAGTCTGTTACTGGATCTCAAACTAAATGCACAGAACTTGGATGACAAAGTAAGCTTAAAAGAGGGAAGTTCCTTAAGTCAGAAATCATCAGGATTTGGCTCTTGGAGCACTACTTTCTGTTCTGTTGGCTTACGGCATGGTAGAAGTACAAATAAGGCAGAACAGAAAGCTTAACAGGCAATGAGAGAAATAACACAACTTATAAGGCACACTCCGTTCATCTGACAATTCCCAGCATTCCATAAGCACCAAAAAGCAATTCAGCCAGTGACCTTCAAAAAACTGGATTTCTTCTTCCAGAGACTGTGTATTCAAGGTCAAAGTTTTGCTAGACTTCAGTCTGCAAGAGTGGCATATTAGCTATTCAGCTGTAATTCCTGTAACGACAGGAGACAGCTGAGATCTGCTCAAATCAAATTACAGCTCTGATTATGCAAAACACTATGGTTCTGCATTTCCCAATACCAAGAGTCCTTCAGAGTGCAGCTTGAAGATATCTGCTATAAGATTTCTGAAAACAGGCAATTAAAACAACAAGAGGAAAAAAAAAAAAGCAAAACAAAAAAGTTTACTACTCTACTCATATTTGGTAAAGAATACTTCATGACAAGTTATATATACGAATGTGTCAACTGCTGAATAGAAACACTGAGAAGTATTTGTAAAATATATCTCATACCATCAGGCAGCTGTTTACACGACAAAGCATCATCAAGATCTTTGGCAGTTGATGGGTCGATGGTGAAAATGCATTCTTTCCTATCCAAGGAAAAAAGAAGAAAATGAAAATTTATCTTCCAGTCATGAAGAAGGTATCAAAACAGAGACCAGAGACATCCAGACAACAACAACCATGTTTTCAGAAGACTGTTTGTTGAAACACCCTCCAATCTAATCTGAAAGTCTAAATCTAATTAGAAAAAAAAGTTCTAGACAAGTGAATCACTTGGTGGTTTTTCTCATCTCAACCCAAAATCTTTTTTTTTTCCCCCTCCGTTTTTCTTTTTGGTTTAACTGCTTGCTCTTAACAGCTTTCATCTCATTACTGATTTTCCTTCAGAAAAACTAAACAATTTAGCCCACCAAGTTCTCTCCAAAGAAACAAGCAGGAAAAAAGTCTTGATGCCTTGCAGCTAGAGTAGAAATAGATTGTTCCTAATTGCAAAGCTAAATGGAACACCAATAACCCCCATCCCCATGCATAACAGTAGATATCACAGCATCTGAAACTCCACAAACACAGCTAGCATGGAGTAGAGGCAGTGAAATACTTACAACTAAAGCTGAATGGTAACAAAATTGAGTGAGAGTTGCTCTCAGTAAAGATACCCAAAAGGTGCAGTACTCTGCAACATCTACACTGCCTATTACTATGCACCAAAGGGAAAAGCAGGAAAACACTATGAAAGTTATAGAAAGAGCTCCAAATCAGCTAATTACATCTAGCACATCAACTTGGTGCTTATGAAAAGCTGAAAGCCCTTTAGCATATGCTGTACTAGCCAGTCCATGCAGAATATGCAGCCCTGCCCTGCAAGGCCTCCATATGTACATCCCATAGTGGTGGGTGACAGGTACACCAGGAACCTACCAAGATGGACCACAGATATGGTCTAGGGACATGTAGATGAGAAAAAAAATAGAGCATCTGGCTCAGGAATCATCAGGTTTAATAGAGCAGAGCCTAGCACCAGCAAGACCCAAAACCTGAAGCGTTCAACAAATAAAACTTGCTAAATTCTTGCTTCGAGGCTTCTCTTAATCTTGGGCTGCCCTACAGCAACTTCTTGCCTGGGTGCTTGGACTACAGCAGGGTTCACTCAAGCAATGTGTGGAATGTGAGACTGGAGCTGAAGAGCAGTGAAGACCATAAATGAATGGGTTTGCTGGTTTATTTTGCTTTTATCTTAACCTTTAGAATAAGTTCAGTCCCTCCTTAGTTAAAAGATCCCCCAGCACAATGGTATAGGCTGAGACTCCCAAGAAAGAGATCAGATGCTTCTTTTCTCTTTGCTGCAGAAAAACTCATATCATGACGGCAACTCCCTTCTAGAGATGTATAATGAAAACACAAATTATTTTTCTTAGAGCATCACCACTAATATACTCTTGGGATAGGAGAGGTGGGAGGGGAAAAATTACAGCAAACTTTTAAAGGAGCAAGTGTCACATGGAATTAACAAGTCTTTGTCTCTTTGCCTGGGTGCTCGCACAGTGAGAGCAATGTCTCTGTCTTCAAGGCCTACCATTTCAGCACTTAAATGCTCTTGGTGGTATCTGTTGGTGTCAGACAGCTGGCAGCATGTATTTATGTAGTTCCACCAGGCACACTAAATAGAGACTTTCAAAGACATAAAAACCAGTAAAGCACTTCGCTGCCTTCCAAGGCTTTGGAAATTTTTCTGCATTCGCTGGCTTTCAGACTGGACAGCAAAGCCTCCTTAATCCCCCCGTGCACCTGAGTTTCTGATCCTTCACATGCATCTAAACAAATTAAGAGACTGTGACACTGAAAGATATAAAGCCTTTTCAACTACACCAGGACTTTGATCTGTTGCTGCCTAGCTACCCAGCACCGCAAATCAACCTATTTTTAAAGGCTTACACCCTTACTTCCATAAATAACCTTACTTTCATAAATATATACTCCAGAAACAACCTTACTTCCATACACAAATACTCCTTGAAATTCTACTTAAGTCTGGAATTTCAGGATATCTCCACTCCAAAGTGCTGTGCAACTTTCTTTAGGGAGCTGTGCATACAGAGATACAGACACCTATACTATGAGCAGTACAGGGGCAAGCATGTGTGCCAGCCTGCAGGTACTGATACACCAGGTCCCACTAATGCACTGTGAGCCCCCCATCCCCTCAGCCACATCTAGTGCCTTTTCCTTTAAGATGCCTCATTTTAAAGAGCAAACAGCACCAATCAGACACTAATGGCTTGCTTTCGCTTGCTTTATCTGACAAGCCAGTAAGAAAAAGGTTTAAAAGCTTCTTCAAAGAGAACGTGGGTTCCTGTGTCAGGGGAATAGACAGCTTATCCCAGGTGTTCAGGGCCTGCAACCACAAGCATCTGCCACCCATTGCGAATCATAACTCCAGGCAGTTCAAAAATTAGCAGACTGGTTTCAACAAAGCGCACATACGCAGCCTGCCCTGGAAAGAGGGGAGCATCAACACGCGGGTGCCAAATCCTGAACACATTTACACGATGGCAGCAGCTAACGGGCTGCTTTGGGGCTGCTTTGCTGAGATGTATTTGGCCAGTCAAACCTACTGCAGAGGTCAGTGGTGGCCCCCGCTGAGCCACGGGGCTGGCGGGGCAGCCCCAGCCTCCCTGGGCAGCGCTCTGTGCACAGCTTGCTGCGCCTGGGGATGCGCTGGCCGGGCTCCCAACAGCCTCGCAGCGTGCACAGACACCGCTCGCCGTCTGACAGGCTTAAACTCGCAGATGCAAAGCTGAAGAGGCATCCAGACAAATACTGATTTAACATTTCTCACCAGCATTTCCATGTGCAGCACAGCTGGGATATGTTTTACCACCAGGCTCAAATCCACTTCTCCTTTAAAACTACTCAAGGGACTTGGACTTGTAGCTTGTCACATGCAGTTTATTCTGGGAGCAGACTGCAAGGTGAGGTAAGAAAGTCACTGAGCAAATAACACAAGGAATGATACTCCCTGGCATAAGGGCTCTGCAGAAGTGTTGCAGAACTGACAGCCAGGTAGTCAGAGGGACAAGAGAAGCTGATCTGCAAGCAGAGCTCAAAGTTCACAGCAGTGAGATAATCCTGGCACACAGGAATACACCTCATTGAAGTTTTCTAAGCAAACTCCCCTCACCAGTAATTGCATTATTAAGTGTGATGAATTATATTTCTGGTTTTCAGGTTTTATTACTGGAGAAGTTTCAGATGGCCATAGGAACTGGGGCTGGCATGTGGCAATTAAACAATCCACCAAGCGATGGGACAGCAGCGCTGAGCCTAAGGGCAGCATCATGCACACGGGCTCCTCCAAGGCATGTTCTCCTGGGAAGGCAGGTTCTCAGCTATCTCCCTCTACTTTTCCTCCAGCCCTGCTGGTATCACATTTTATCTCCAGCAGGCTGCAGAAAGCCGCCTCTCATCCTGGAGAGAATGGGCACAAGACATTGAAAAGCCAGGGGAGGAAAGGCTGGGTGTGGGCAGCACAGCCTGCCTGCCGGCAGCTCTGCAAGCTGCCCCCTCCCTTGGCACCTACGCCAGCCACTCCTCTACAAACCCCCAGGGAAGACCCTGGAGGCAGCTGACAAAAGCCATCTGGGTGAAGAAACAACACTGCTCCCAGCTATGTGGCAAGTCCTCCCAGTGAAGAGGCAGGAGCCGTTCAAATTCCTCCCCTGGCCATACTGTCTGGCTGTGTGATACCCCAAAGGCTGTGGCACAAGGGATCTCTGAGAAATCACACCACACTTCTGACTGTAACCAATTACAAAACCAACCTGCAGTGGGCTGTATGACTAAACATCAAGGCAACAGAACTTTTTATGCACCTGCTAACATAGACGTTGCTTAAACACAAGAAAATAACCCATCTGCACTCACACACGTTTGCACTGACCACAGGTAAATACAAATAGGCAGCTCTCTCCAGCTTCTGGAGATGGTGACCCTGTGGGTTAAGAAGCTTGATCATCTTCCTCTCTCCCTTGTTCAAAAGTCCCAAAGAAGCTATCTCTCATTGTCATTACACCTAATAAAAATCTGGTTTGTTCATTTGAAATTGTCAAAACATACTTTGTAAAAGTAATGAGATGTTCCAAGTCCATTCGTTCCAACATACACACAACTTGGTTAGTCAAAGGAAACTGTTTTAGGAGATAGAGACACACTGAGTTAAGAGATTTTCTGGTCTTCATGCTGGAAAGCACTAGTGATAAACATGTGCCTTTAAGAAACCCCCAGCACTGATTGAAAACAAACATTTCAGTCTGGAAACTTCCATTTTTTCCAGGAGTCTTTGTCCCAAAACATATGTTGAATGCAGGTTTGCAGAGGTGGACTTGCTCTGGAATGGAATTTCTGTCAACGGAAGAATAAAAATCTCTCCTCCCTCCTCAGAGCCAGAGGTTTTGCACACCAGAGCAAGGCGATGCCTGCAAGAGTTTTGGAGGATCAGGGGAAGGGCCCACATCAAGCATGGTGGACCTGCAAGCAAGAGTCAGGAAACCACATGCCACACGGACCGCTCAGACTCTGCCAGCCCCAGGACCACGGACCCAGCCACCTCGAGCCCCGAGGCAGTGACAGGAGTGCTACTAAGGCCAAAGCTCAGGCGCTGGCTCTGTCTGCCATCTTACAAATAACCATCGGAGAAAAAAATTGCAGAAGAGAGCACTTAGTTTTATTAGACAGTAACGACAGCATCAACATATACAGGCTGGTATATCAATCCTAATTTAAGGAAAGCTAATTAAGTGCAGTTTCTCTTTGCACAGCTTAAGGAAGACTAATTAAAGCGGGCAAGCATATCTGCAGAGCAGTTAGTCTTTTTACCTTTAACAGGACCAAAAATAAATGGCTCGTGCAGCAGTAGAGGTAAGATAAGTGGTCTGTTGGTGAGCTGGAACTACCACCATGGTAATTAAAACGTTCACAGATCAGAGGACTGCAACAGCAGTTTGTTTTGCTTTGTGTAAATATCTACATCTACACAAAGGTATCTGCCAGAATCAGCAGAGAAAATACTGTAGAGTTGCTGCTGCAAGGT